CATACCCCTCAAGTCCTTAAAACCTACAATAGAAAAATTCAACACATCAGGTCATCCAAGGGCAAGTGGGTGGGCACCCTGAGAACTGGACAATCCTGAAATGCACTAGTTGATTGTTCCACATGTATGTGTGTGGTGTCATTTGTGATAAACATCTGACTGGAATTAAAATTTTTCTTTGGTAAACAAAACAAAGAAAACAAGCAACTAAAAGCAATAAATTGCCTTGTAGTTAGTCCAAACGAGGTTTCACCCACAAACAATAAAAGCAGTAAATTTCACCCAAAAGCTGTTATAGCTCATAATTAGCCCCAACAGTCAAATACACATGGACAAGAACATATTCCTTTCTCCTTCGGAAAATATTCAACTAGGCAGACTTCAAGACTAGCATCAAAACCTGTCCAGTGTCAATGACTAAAACTATCAGAAATATAACTTACAACGTAAGTCTCATTTTGACTGACCCCACTGCAATCATTACTCGTAAGGAAAACGCAAGCTACCCAGTTACATTTTGAGAAAAATAATCCCTCCCCCTAATGGTGGAATGTCTGAACATGGGGAGCTGCACAGCAAAGTGACAACGGACAATGTAAAAAAAGAAAAACAATTTTTGGAGAAACTACTCCATTTCCATTTTGATCCCTGTGAGTGTTTGGGTTCTTTCCCCCTTGCTCACAAGCTGAAGCACTTTCAGAGTCCTTCAATCCCTCCCAAATTCAATCCCTTCCCCACCAGGGAACTGTTTTTGATGCCCTGTGAACTTAAAAAACAAAAAACAAAAAACCCCTAAAAGCATACACTACACACACTATAATGGAGTGTAAAGGCCTTAGAACTGTGTTTTACAAATTTAAAGATAATTTACTGAATCCTGTCATAAATTAACCCAGTCAATAAAAATGTTCCTTAGAAAAAAAACTACACGCATAAACTACACAAATCAGGATGCTTTTAGCTCGTGACAATAATCAACCTTCAACAGGTCAGATCTTCCATATACCTCCTGAGCAAAATGTTTTTTTATCCAGAGAAAACCAGTCATGTGAATAGCAAAGTTAGCATTTACTCAACAAAACATATTTTAAAGAAATGAGGCATTTTTTTAGACAGAGGACGTTTGCTCAAAGCACACAAAAACAAAGAAGAAAATTCAGCTTTTGGAAAATGAAAACCCCCCACAAAAAACGGATAATAATTTAGTCTTATTAAATATTTCTATATGCAACACTCATTCAAATTCAATGATACACCTCTTTCCTTATCCCTGAAATAAAACTTAAAAATCTGTATCTACAATATCATTCTAAATGAAAATTAAGTAAAACTTTTCTCTACAATACTATTATAGTAAACAGCACCAGCGAAGTAACTCTGGGACAGTTTCAACACTGGTTTTATGCACATGTTGCAAGCAAGTCTCCCACGCGAAGCTTTGAGACTGATGTGTACAACATAACATGTATAACATGTCTTTTACCTTCCAGTAAAAACTCTTTAATGACATTCCCTTTTAAACATAAAAAATCATGATGACATAATACTAAGTGCTTACATCCAACCTAACAACATATATATACAGTAGTAAGACTAGCGATGATTTTGCACCACATAATTCATAATAACAGAAGACAAAAATAAATCGTATATATATACACAAGAAAACAACCACCCTTCAGTTTAATAAACAAAGACTCATCAGTTCACAAGCGTTTTAACAACACTTGCTGCTCACACTTTTGTATTGGAACATGAGGAAAGATCTCACACAGATACCTTATGTTATTGTACCTCTGTCTGAAATGTGGTAAGTTTAAGGCGTGTAAGCAGGCTCAAGGGAATGCCAACAAGGTCCAATATTTGTTACCTACTCCTCAGCAAGTGATGAAGTGAATGCTTTACTTTCCCACCAACAAATGTTTACCTAATTTAGGAGGTAATCTGCTTCAATTTTGCCTGTAATGACCACCCCAGGATGTGAGGGGTTCATTCTAGGAGAAAGAAACTTGAAACATTTTTTTCAGAATGAGAATCAAACTCAAGTCCTCTGCATGTAAGATGAAGAATACAACAACTACAGCCCAGACCAGTCTCTTCAGCAGAGACCACACTGCAAAGAAAAAATGAACATAACAATTCATTATTTCAGCTTACTTCACCTTCCACTGAAGGAAAAACATATATAAGTGATGAAAATATTATTAATCAGATCTGTTTTGACATGGGTGCATGAGTATGTGGAACAATTTGAAAAGCCAGAAACCACATCAAGGAATGGAAGCATCATAGACAAAGAAAACAAAGTCAACAGAAGAATCACAAAGAAGTCAGCTCGTCAGGGAATCAGGGAAGATGCTCTCACTCAATTCCCAATGCCTCTCCTCTAAAGTCCAAGTTGTACAAATGTGCTGACTTTTGGGTTTCACTTCAAGAAACAGTCACGCTGTTATTCTCACAAACAAAAATAACACTAAATAAAAATCGTCTTCCGTAAAATCAAATCAGCATCACTCACAACTCCTCTAGCACAAAAAACAACCTCTGACTCACTCTCACTTGACTACACAGGTTGTCTGAACAACATGAGACTCAACTGGCCATACCCTTTCCTTTCTAAACTTTACTCTGACTCAAACATACAGCAACAAGTAACCATCTCATTTTTGCAAATTGCATCGCAACCACAAATATTAGCTCAGAGGTAAACCATCACCCAGAATTGAACCATCCACACTTTCACACTGCCCACAGGAAAATCATACATATATGTGAATACTTCATGAAAGGATTCCAATTTTCAATGTATGATACACTTGTAAGAGGGTTCTGTGCCTTCCCCCCAGCCCTCGGTTATGCTGTCCGCTCAACACAAAAGAAGCAGCTGTGACCTTACAGCCAGAGATGTGGTCCATAAGTAGACAATAGTACAAACAAAAGGGAGTACATACACATCATGGTAATGACTAGACCAAATGATTATAATATGTTATGGCATGGGGTAACAACGCTGACTGATGACAAAGCTCAAAAGATGATTAAAAAACAAAATGTCTGGTCAAGTTTTAAGTACAAGACTTGTGCTGAACATGTGAACAAGCTCATTTTCTCTGGACAGTACAACCACAGTGGAATCTTTAGCCCAAAAAACATTTGGTCCCACCTGTTGTTCTGTACTCAAACGAGTACAAATTAAAGGGGAAAATGGCTGAAGTTCTGCAAGCTTCAACCCCTGCTCAAAGAGAGGGGAAAAGGAGGAACCAAGGGAAGGCAGACACCTGTGTCAGTACAGGTCATTTAACTTCATTGGCAAGTGAGTGACATGAGTCGATAGTAGTTTTATGTTCACTGGAAACTGGGTTGTAGTTAAACAACAACAACAAAATATAACCACACTAAATGTTGTAGTAATTGTATATAATATAAACATTTCTTCTAAGTAAAAATTCTATTTAGAATGCTTGTCAATAATTCTGAAACAAAAATTTCACCTGGCAAACAGTGTCACCACAGATTTCCTCAGTAAACAAAAGTGGGTTTTTTTTCTTACTCTTTGGTATTCTCAGAATGCTGCGGCTTTACCCTTCTTCTGTAGATACCAACTTTACTTTATACATCCGGTACACACACAAGACAAGTTTCCTATGTCTGAAACTAAGAGAGACAGGATGTATTATTTCAAAGGTAGGCAACTTTAATTTAACGCGGACAAAAAGTGTTATAACATCAAGCTCATCGAACTTCCTCCACATCTCCCATTGTATGCAAGGAGTTGGAATATCTGTAACAGTTTAGAGGTGCTGCTAGACACCCTATCAAAGCCTTACGGCATTCACTGATTATGACAGGTTGCTAGTCCCATGAACCAGACAACCCATTAAAAAAAACACACAAAAAACTAGCAATTCTTTCACAGCACAGGCTTTGTTTTCTTACACAAATAGCTAAAAACTAATAATAACAACAGCACAGAAAGGGAAATTAAACAATACTTATTTTATGAACAATAACAATAACAGTTGAATGGAAAATACTGAGACAGACAGACATGATGTCATGAATAAAAATGAAATGTCATTTGGTTGCCCATGAGAGAAAGTAAATGTTATGAGTTTGAGAAAAACATATTATATACTAATCCTGACAAGATGAACTCACAAACTACACACAGTCCCTACCACTGGACTCTGAACTCACAGAGCCTGATGTGAGGGAAGTAACGGTATCCAGAATCTGAACCACTTTCAGGAACACTTATCTCACATGGTTGGTCTGGCCAAGTTCAGAATATAAGTCGTCTGCATACAGCAAAATGTGTAATGCACAAAAGGTCTTTTTAGTCAACCTTGACAATGGTGGGAACTATGAACTGTCTTCCTGCCCTTCATAACTGAAGTACAATTCCTTTTAAAGATTTTGGCACCTTTATGAGCTAATTTCAGCACTTTTTCAAAAGAAGATTACATAGAGATATATTCCATATGCCCTTATAGCTAACAATAGCTTAAAGACCACAAACTGTTCAGGTGCACTCATTTCTATAGTTTTCAAGATTCAGTTTTAATGAGCAATTCCCAAGAAGGTCAGACTGATTTGTGCCTGAAGCTATCAACAACGTTGAAAAGTGTATCACGAACACATAAAGTAGCCTGAGACAACGATTTAAATATTTTCTCCCTTTAGCTTCACTCATTTTTCACTCGGTCCAATTCACCTCCGACCAGCCAGATGTGTTGAACTATTTAAAGCATCCGAATTATTACTTTCGTTCCTTTGAGGTAGCTAAAAAATGTGGACAAGTTTTTTTTATTCTCCACAAACCAGTACATGGTTCAGAAACTCCTGTTCTCGGTCAGTGTCAATTCGAACTACCAGACTTTTGCATGACAAGTACTCAGCACTCTCAAGCCTTGGAGGTAGTTGATGATGATTATTTCCATTTTTTGTCCTGTAGCTCATGGGGGTTTGTTTTTCTTTAAGGGGGGAAGAGGGGTGTGTGCAGAATATCCTTTCAAGGGTCTGTGGGCCCCTGGCCTAAATGACCAAATCCAGGAGTGTCCAGACCAGGAGTGGGGAAGCCCATTGGAGTCATGCTGGGGGCAGGTCCTGGGTACCCGTAGCTCCCGCCCATCACCGACGGTGGCATCATGGGCCACATTGACCCACCCATAGAGGGTGGAGCCGCTCCACTGTGCCCGCCCATCATGAGAGGTGACATACTCGGGTAGCCAAGTGGAGCCTGTGGGTATCCCATCATGCCCTGTGAGGGGTGCGACGACATCATGGCTGCTGCTGGAGAAGCGAAAGGAAGAGAACCTCCACCATAAGATCCATAGGCTCCAAACGCTGCATTTCCATAGCCAGAGGGAGGAGGGGCTAGAGCAGACGGGCTGCTGAACGCACTCATGCTGGAGGCATAACCCAGTCCGGGGGCACTGTGACTGCTGATGCCTCCAACCCCATCTAGACGGAATGGCTGAGACGGCGGAAGGACAGACGACGGCAGGGACTGGTTCACAGCCGAACTGGGATGAGCCCTGAATGCACTCCCGCCCATTCCCATCTCACTGCCTAAACCAGAAGACATGGCATTACCCATACCAATCTTTGCACTGTCAAAATCATTACTATCCAGTCTGCCAATGCCCATATTCGACCCCAGTGTGGTAGATGCCGAGTTCCCATCCAGTATGCCTGGTAAATTGAAGCTAAGACCAGAAGAATGTGAACTCGCCGGGCGATTCTCGGGAATGTCCCCGAGGTTTTTATTGGAATCCGGTGGTGTGCTCATTGCTAAATGCGGGCTTGCAGACGGCTGGGACATGAGATTGCTATTGCCAGATGTGCTTGAAGACTTGCCACCTTTTTTAGTGGCCGGGCTGCTTGTGCGACTACTGGAGGACGAGCCTTTGTTCTTTTTACTGGAAGAGGATGATTTGGTCCGCTGGTATTGGCTGGGTTTGGTAACAGCAGCCTCAGATGAAGCCGTGTTGTTCATGTTATCAGATCCGAGTAGGGTAAGAGAGAAGGGGCTACTTTCACACGATCTGTCATTTGAAGAGGGCACAGCCGCATTAGAATCGCGATATGTAGATGATGATGTAGGGGGCATGTGAGGTGACGATGACGATGATGTTGACAGTGAAGTCGGTGGCTGTTGAGAATGCTGATGTTGTTGCTGCTGCGGAGCAGAGTAGCTGGAACCTCCCACTGTGTTATTGTTGTTCATTCCGAAGCCAGGGGTCTGCTGGGAGAAGCTCGAGGGACCAGTCTGAGAGGAGGGGAAGCCCGACTCAGTGTTTGATGGCTGAGACATGAACGAGGTTGAGGTAGGGGTTGGGCCAAAGTTCAAGTTTGAACCAAAGCCAAATGGAGGCTGCTGCGGGCCAGAGGGGCCCGAGCTTAGACCTGACTGCACAGGACCTCCGCCACTGTTCGCACTGGAGTCAAATGGTACGACCGAGTTGGTTTGGTTCCCATGGTGACTGAAAGGTGGCAAGTTTGCATTTTGCGTACCCCCGTACATCATACCCCCATTGGGTTGTTGGGGCTGTCCCTGGTTCATAGGAGGAGGTAGGCTCTGACTGAATGAGCTTTGTGGAGGTGGTGGGGGCATGTAGCCACCAGAGCCAATACCACCCATATAGGACGGGCCCGCAGAACTCTGACCCGGCATGCCGAAGTGACCACCCATATTGCTACCAGCCATATACGGGTTGCCCATGCCACTGGCGCCAAAACCTTGACCCATCTGAGACGGTTCTGGCTGACCATTGTTGAAGTTGTTTTGTCCTTGCATAGCACCACTGCCCATCATACCACCACCATTATCTCCGCCACCGCTCTGGTTTGGCATCATGGGGTGCGAACTCGCATCCTGCCCCATCATGCCCATACTAAAGCTGTTGCTGCCTCGACTGGCCGGCATGCTACCAGAGGTGGAGATGGGCGGTGGCATAGGGCCACCCTGGTTGCCTTGAAGTCCAAAATTGCTTTGCCACATTTGATTGAGGTCAGGGAAGCCACTGGACGGCCCCGCTCCCTGCTGTGGACCGCCAAGTTGTTGTTGGCCGATGCCAGGAGGGTGACCATGGCTCATCTGACCGGTTGAAGACAAAGGGCCCATGCCTGAAGTAACAGACTGAGGCAGAGATGTTTGCAGGTCTGTGAAAGAAATGGAAGACATAAAAATTATTTGAGCTTATGTAGATAAAATCAGCACAAGTAGCATAAAAACTTGATAATCAATATCCATAAGAGAGTTATGAGCTTTTGTAACAACAGCTGAACATGGTGTGCTTGAACTTTGAAGAATGCAAAAGCATGTTTTTTAAATGTTTTTCAGCAAAAAAGAGAAATATAGAGAACGATGAAATCCTTGACGTTACTACATTTTATAAAAATACAAGAAAATACTCTTCACGCCCAAAATAAAATAAAGCTGCCCATATTGTCAAACAACTGTGACATTCTTTTATATATACAAAAATTCAAAAACAATATCACTGACTTTAAAAGATTATCTTAATAAGCACCCATTTACATCAATATCAATAACTCTACTTACACATTTGAAAATGGTTATTTCAACAATTTCAGAAAAGTGGTAGTACCATATTTATCAGTAAAGATATCAAATGAAATACGAACAGCACATACCACAAAATAAGACTGAAACATTAAAGAGAAAATAAAACAAGTAACTGCACAAAAAAATTGCTATAAAACACGACAGCATTTGAAAAGACCAACGAAACCCCAAATCTAAACTTAACAAAATTTATGACAACTCATGAAATTGTTTCCCTGGCAATCTTAAAACATATACGCAGATCATGGGTGAAAGCACTGACAGGCTCAAAAACCTGAAATCCGAATTACTAAAATGTCTTCGCCTGAAAATTACACGCATTGTGAAACGTTGTCAGATAAACACACGTCCATCAAGATACATGTAGTACAGGTACTTTCAGCAATGCATTCCTTTGAAAACAATCCATCCAACCGGGTTCTGGGTCAGCAAAACAGCAATATGCTATTCCTGGATGCTAATTTTTTTCACAGATATGTATTTTATCACAATCCCCACTGAGACACACTTTTTTTTAAAAAGAGCCATGTCACTGTTACAGTCTACACTTTTAAAAACTACAACTGTGGATTCTTGCTAAATAAGAGTTCAGCAATGGTGCATGACACTTGTGCACACATTGTTTGGGGCTGTTGCAGTTGATGGTGAAATCGGCTGGACATAGAAATCTTTTTGTTATGTACGAATTTAGCGATGGACAAATTTTAGGCTGCACCAAGGAAGATAAAACCAAGTTGGACAATCAGGTCAAAATTTACATGAATTATGCCTCCTGAGGCAAAACCTGCGAGCGTGATGGATTGATGGCGATTTAATTTTTTAATTTTAATGCTGCAGTCCTCAGTCTTAACTGAAATAATTTGGCTTGACACAGAAATAGCTATAGCCTGCTCCTTTTGAAACCAACAAAACACTGCTTGTTCCACTGCCCTCTACTTTGTCAGTTTGTGCCTTTTCGTCCCTGTTTCAGCACTATAATTCTCAATACAATGTACTTTGCGGTGTGTTTTTTTTCTTTGGTTCGGAATCTCACACGTGTTGAAGATTGGGTTAAAAAAAATATATATATATTGATTTTTCATCCATCTCTGCTAGGATCAGCCGTTTGTCCGTAACCAAGAAGTCTTAGTGCGTTTCTTTTGCTCCGCTATGGTTCACTCTCGTCTACAACAACTTCAGCTAGACCTAACTGTACTGAACATTGGCAAGCTGCTGCATAGTGCGTAGTCTCTATTGAAGAGAAAGCGCAGACACACGTGGCGGCAATAGGGCCTTCACAAGCTCTCCGCTCGCAAATCTAACTCTAAACCAAATCTGCCACTCTATGAAATCTAAAAATCTGGATCTCAGGGGAAAAAATCGGGATCAATGACAAATCACCAAGGTGACTAGCCAGCTGAATAAAAATTTTCCCAGGGGTGTCCATAAATATATTATATTCCATGTAAAGGCCCTCTGAGCCCACGCTGCATGCGTATGTTTTATTATTATTATTTTTTAATTCTGAAGTATCACGTCAAGGACTCTTGTCCAGGTGTCTACCCCCCCCCCCCCCCCTCTTTTCCCCCATAAGCCTCGAAAGATGCTTCAACCCGTGTGCATGATATGAATCCCTGACACGCGCGAAACTCGCACGCCGATGTCGCCGATTTTTTCCCTCGCTATATACATACGAATTGTCAAGTCTGTGTGTGTGTTATAATACACAAAATAATATAGGCTCCACATCAAAATTCGGCACCTTTAATTATATTTGCTACATCTATTATTCTATGTGCATCTTATCTACATTTACTGAAAGAATGAATTTCTTTCTTTAAAAAAAAAATTATAAATCACAATAAATTTAAAGTTTGACCATGACGTGCTTGTGCTTGTCCAAATGACCCACAGACATGAACCAAAGATGTCAAAACCAGCCACAATTTGCAAAATATGGCTAAACCTGGGCAAATCACAGAGCGGTCTTGTCAGATGAATAACATCGAGGTCGTTGGCCTAGTGTTTGCTGCGACATAGATCAAATTGGGTTATTTCTGGGCTTGCAACGCTCATTGTGGCCAGTAAGGCAAGCTGAGACAGACCAGCAACGTAACCAAATGCAAAGAGCTATAGACTGGAAGGGGAGAATGACTACTTCCGAAAAGTATGAGTCGACAATATGTTTCAAACCGGAAAAGTTGAAAAGCTTATTTTCAAAAGCCGGAATTCCGGCATATGCCGGCAAGCTTTCAACCATGACGCAGATGATACCACAAGAGCATACCAAGAAACACACACTATCACAAGTATACGGCAGAGAAAACAACTTACTGTTGGCCGTAGACATGTCCGACATGGTAGTGCCCTGGGTGTTATCCCCAGCACTGACAGCTGAAGTTGAGGGAGGGTTCGGCGACTTAGCCAAAAGACTGACACCTTTCTTCTTGTCCTCTCCAGGCAGTCCGTCCACGCCTGTACCACTATCTTTTGTCGTTGCTGTCTTCGCAGAGCCTTTCTTGGACTTTGAGCTCTTGGCGGGTCGTCGCGTCCCCATCGAGATAACGGGTTTGGTAGGCATGATGACCACCGTGCCCCCTCCTGGAGAGGTGGTGGCCACTGTTGATGAGTTGAGACTGGACGGGGGCCGCGGAGTTCGAACAGCCAGCGATGGGAGGACAATGACCGGCTTCTTGGCCTGTGGTGTATCTCCGTCACCCTTCTTCTCCTCAGACTTTTCATCTTTGTCGTCATCATCTCTGATGAGGTCAGCAAGAAATGAAGTTTTCGAGCCCGAGGATGACGAAGAGGATGCATCTGTGGAGGACTTGGTGGAGGTAGAAGAAGTTGTGGTGGTTGAGTCTGTGGTTTTGGCTGACCCTGAGGGGAAAAAAAATGGCAACGAAGTCACGTACTGTACAAAAAAAGTCAATTTGCAGGTCACAATAGATTGGTACAGCTTTATTTTGAAAAGTAACAATTGCGACAAAAGCAATTCAGTCTTTTAAAAATTTAAGAGAAAAAAACACGCCCAGTGCCAATCAAAAGTGAGATGCAAATAAGGATAAATCTGCATGAAATAACATTGATGTATAGATAACGGCTACAAAAAATATAGGTGTGTGAAAGAGCCTACCATATCTGGGACAGAATGAAAAGACAGAGGAGCTCATGCATACTTAGAAGACGAAAGAACAGCATGCCAGAGGAGTCATTCAAGATGAGCAAACCTGTTTTCAGTATAGAAGGTTTCAATGAACTGAGAAGGTTGGCACTCCCATAGGGCAGTGTGCGGATAATGCTCCCACCTCGCGCCATGCTCAAAGGAATTCCTTTCTTGTTGCTGACGATGATGATTGGTGGCTTCTTCCCCGACGCCGTTGACATGTTCATATTTGGTGTGATGAAGACTAGCAGAGAAAGGAAACAACAATGTTCATGTTAGTTCTCACACTAAAACACAAAACAAAAACTGGCCAAAAATAAAGTAAGGTAAGAAAAGTTTTTTTTTTAAAAGGATGTTTTCCTTAACAACTGAAATCATCTATGGTCTCTGTACTTTGCATATTCTTGGGTCCTGTCTATTGTACCCCAACATGTCACAAAAGGAAGGCACACCCATTTTCCAACTCCTCTACCCGTACAGACTTATTTATCATCTAAACATCAAAAAGACATACACTGTACATTGTTAGTCTGTTCCGCACATATGCTGCTATTTTACACACTCTTCTTACCTTGGTTGCTGGAGGTAGATGATAATGTAACAGTGGAAGTTGTGCTGGTCGTGGCAGAAGATCCCGAGACAGTCTCTCCTGTCAGGCCCATTCCTGTTTTGGAGCGCACGGCAAACATTTTCCCATCGTTGGTACGGATGTACACACCTTTCGGTGTGCGAATCACGAGGATCTTCTGCCCTGCGGTGATTTTATTTGGAGCACCAGCAGTCGTCCCTGTATTTGTCCCTGGTAACACAATCTCTGCAGTTGGGAGAAGAAAAGAGGCCATTACAAAAATAATAAGGTCAGGTCCAATTTCACCCTATAAAAATTACAGCCAAGTTCAGTTCCAGATTTTAGTAACATGTTCTAGGGTCTGCTGGGGTAATAATAGTTGTAAAAAGTATAGAGCATGCTGTTGAGCATGGATATATGCTACATACATTAAAATATTATCAACATCATTATCATTATTATCAGGTATTCCACTGGGATTTTGTGAAAACCTGAAAATTTTCAAAGTTGCACTTGGGAAAAAAAGACAGTTAACAGACACAACCAATATGGGGTTCAATAGAAAACAAATGCTCAGAAAAATGTCTGATCTTTTAGTGTAAATAACAGAAATAATGTAGACCTGCATGTGAGCCTCAACCAGATTGTCTGAAAATGTTGCGCCCCCCCGACCCCTTTCACCAACTCTCAACCTCAGATGCATGAACATTTAGGCACACCTCAGCCCCACCCAGTTTATAAAAAATAATAAAAACCTTTAAAAAACCACCTTCCAATAACCCTGATAACTGTAATTACATAATATCAAACAACAAAATCAAAAGGATTTTCCAAACAACAAACCCAATTTAAAAGATACCACCCACCATTCCCCCCCTAAAACAACAACAACGACAACAAACAAAACCAACCCCTAAAACCAAAACCAAAAAACCCCCCAACAAACCAAATAAATAAAGAAAGACCATTACTCATCTGATAACTCGGTAGCAGCTTAGCCAATGAACGCTCAGCAAGTGAGGTAAGCCAAAAGCAAAATCGCTGTACACAGATACACACACATATTTTATGTATGACAGAAAAGCGGTCATCGGTGGCATCCTTCAACTATCTGCTGTACTGGTGCGACACTCAGGGATATGAATAACAGAGATATAGAGCAACGAAAAAAATAAAGCGAGAGAGAGAGAGGGAGA